TTAAAAAAAAAAAAAAAAAAGCGCATAAGTGAAGCAGCTGAGGGATGGTCAGACTGTGAAGACTAAAGTTGTAAGCTACAGGGAGAGGGTCTGGGTTGGCATGTGTGTGTACCCAGGATAATCCTAGGAGCATGTGACCGGCCTCAGCACAGGAAGACAACAGCTCAGCAAGTGCCTCATCCCCACAGGAAGGCAAACAGCCGAAGAAATAGCCAAGAGCTAAAAAAACTTGCCCTTAGAGGATTAGGAAACTGCATTTAAAAAAATTCTAACCTAATAAAAACTGCTTAAAACTCCATACATGGCTTACTTTGGTAAACAATGCTACAGAACGATTTCTAAGAATTCCTGCTTCCAGAACAGAGTTGCTCACTTGACATGCCCCATGGAGGATGCTCTGGGTCTGAGAAGCTCCCCAGTCTCTTTGGTAGAGGAGTACCATGCAAACAGCAGTACTGCGAGCACTCTGTATAGACGCTTTCAGTGTCACTGACAGCAGACACGAAGCACAGAATGTACACCAGGCATTTGCTTACTGCTTATGAAATTATGACAGGGCAGCACGATGCAGGTCTGAGTCCCTTAGTCTGTGCTGGCCAGTCCTGACCCTGGCTTGCACTATAAACAGGGAGGGTTGGGCTAGTTATCCTCTAAGGGTTATTCCAGCACCACAATTCTAGAGCTTATTTAAGATGAGGCCTGTGAGGTCTTTCTGGCACCACTGGAGACTAAAGAAAGACATGAGGCTGGGTATAAGCAGCCTGAAGACCACTGCCATCTGCCCAGATGGAGGCTGTGCTCCTGATGCGTGAATCCTTCCTCTCTGTCCTCAGTTTGACAAACTTCCCGGTGGCCACTTAGGTCCCACGTCTCCCCTTCCTTTGTACGACTCACAGCATGAACTACACAGTGGGGACAGAACAAGTATTCGTGAATGGTACTGACATCAAAACAGGCCTCTTCAGAGATGATGACATAGAGCGAGAGAGCAGCCGAGGACCCTAGACTCATGGAAAGAGAAAGGCTGTGTGCTAGCAGACAGGAGGCAGGCTTGCAGAATGTGCCTTTTGGTTATTTAAATGATTATATATTCCTGAGTGTTTTGGTGTACATCCAAGAAAAAGAAAAAAACCGAGGGAATGGAAGCAAATACTGTTGAGATGATGCATGGAGGGGATTATAATCATTGCAATGAAATGAAATATGACAGGATGAGTGTAAAACTGATGTTCTCCCATGTAAACTATCACTCAATGCACAATAAAAACTTTAAAACAAAAATGGCCTCTTTAGTGTCTGTACAAAAAGCACCCCCTCTTCCTCCTTTATTTATGGGCTCTTAAATTTACAAGCTTATTTGTAAAATCAGACAATCACCATGAAGATGAGGCAGCCAAAGGGTTAATGAGGGACGCTCAGAAGTGGCTTTGGTTGAACTGGGGTCTGCTTATTATAGGCTTTGCCAGCAAGTGGGTTCATGACCCTTATACAAGTCAAATCACCTGTCATCTTCTTTCCATATCTGTCAAGGGGGGACATACAGCCTCCCAGGGGCTGAGAGTCAGCGAAGGAATCGAGAGATGTGCTCAAAATGCAGTCCTCATTAAGGTTCCTTCCACACCAGGGAGGGACTAGAAGGGAATATCAACTGCCTTCCCTCCCCTGTCCCATGCACTGGGTCACTGGGAAAGGGGTGTACCTTATTGTCTCCACCGGAGACGGCCAGGATATTGGCTGTGATGGACCAGCTCACGTGCCACACCACATCATTGAACTTGTGTAGCAGTTTAGGGGACCACGTACTGCCCGAGGCATCATCACAGGTCCAGATGAATACACGTCCATCCTGTGAAGAAAAAGGCTTGTCAGGACATGAGGCAAGACTCCCCAATGGGTGACAGCCACCACACTGGACTTTCGTATGGGAATAGGGTGCACAAATACAAGCAAATGAGTAGCCAAGGATCTCTTGGGCCTCCACAGCTCTCCTGCTCTCAGCCCTCCACCTCCAGGACACAGGTCTCCACCATGTCAGAGGCTGACTTCCTCTACTGTGCTCAGGCCAACCTGTCACTTCCTTGTGTGGGCTCCCTCTTGTCTACACTTTCTTAGAGAATTAGAAAGGACAAGTTTAAGGAGAGAGAGCGAAAATAAATCACACTTAAGAATCCTTCTCAAATTTAGAGCCAAACAAGACAGGCTCAAATGATGTTAAAGACCCAGCTTACCTCTGCTCTAGGATGGTGGGAGATAGTTAAGGCTTTGTCCTCGGTTTCACTTCTGTGATCTGAGAATAGTGGCTTAGGAAGATGAGTCCATTCTCAGAATTTCCTAGCCTTAGCCTTGGCCCTCGTGTAGAAATGCAGCCAGGCCCCCACTCCCTGTATACACAGGGATCGGGAAAGGACATTGGTGCTGGATTTGGCTCTTTCTCGGGACTGGTTCCATCAGAACCATTGTATCTCAGTGGCGGGAAAGCACTTGTAGCTTCTCACCAAAACCTACCTACTGCAATGGCGACCTCCTCCACCCTGTACCTTCCTAGAGGGAGAGCCCTCTGGGAAACTGTCAGGGCCATTGAGACTGAACAATTAAACAACAAGGGCTCTTGTGGGGCGGAGCTGACCTGGGAGCAGCTGGCGATGGTGCTGGTTGGCAGACCAATGGAGGGGGCCCAGGCCACGTCTCGGACCCAGTCACTGTGCGCTTCCAGCTTCTGCTCTTCCCTCCACTGACCGTCGTCCTCCTCCCTAAGAGGGGAGAGCAGGGGACAGTCCGCAGAAGCAGCCCAGCACCTTTCCCTCCCTCTGTCCCAGGCAGGCCTGGAGACACAGGCTCCACAGAGGCCAGGAGCTAGTTTTTCATATTTCCTTCAGTGAGCCTGTGGATTGCCATTCCGTTCACCCAGCTGTAAAGAATTTCAGGAAATGCTCTGGGCCTCCACAGCTATTGGGAATTAGGTGACTAGCAAACACGCTTGAGCAAAGGGCAACAATGCTTTTTTTTTTTTTCTTAAAGGACATTTTCTGATACATTTTACCTGCGAGAGGGAAAAGGAAAGGTGGACTTGCTAACTGCCAACTGTGGCTGAGTCAGGGCTGGGAGGTATGGAAGTAAGTGCTCCTCTCGAGAAGCACCATCACCCCACTTACTTCCACAGCTTGATGAGGTTGTCACAGCCGCCAGAGGCAAACTTCTTGATGTAGTTGGGTTTCTGCCCCGATGGCTGGTCTATGAGGTTTCCAGGTATAACAGCAGGTGCCCAGCTGACAGCATTGCAGCCAATCTGTAAAGAAGGGCCATGTGGTGCATCTGTGCTTCGGCAGGCCCCAGCCTGCTCTTCTCTCCTCCCCCTGCAGTTCCAGGGCTGGATGAGGTTAGGCCACTGACTCACGAGCCAAGGAGCAGACACTCATTATTCCGCCCCAAGTATTTCTAACAGTGTGTGTTTTTCATCAGACTGTACTTAAATTCACAGGACTTGAAGAGATTTTTTTTCAAACATGTGTTAGGGCACATGGGGCCTGCTTTTTTTTTTCACTCCAATCTTTTTTATTATGAAGTTAGACACATTCCACACAACAAAAACATAGCTTACATCCCCCACACCCCAAAGAACAAAACAAAACACAGAGATGCATGGAGGAGATTGTAATCATTGCAATGAAACACAATAATGTAAAGCCGATGTTCTCCCATGTCACTCAGTTCACAATAAAAACTTTAAAAACAAAAATAAAAAAAACCCATATGGCTTAATAAATTAGTCTAAAGCACTCTTGTGGTCAACAAATAGACCAAAAAACAGTCGTTTGAACAGAAAAGAAGATACTGAATGGTTTAAAATCAGGAAAGGTGTGCACCAGGGTTGTACTCTGTTACCATACTTATTCAATCTGTATGCTGAGCAAATAATCCAAGAAGTTGGATTATATGAAGAACGTGGCATCAGGATTGGAGGAAGACTCATTAACAACCTGCGATACGTAGATGACACAATCTTGCTTGCTGGAAGCGAACAGGACTTAACTTACTGATGACTTCCGGTTCGCCACTGCGGCCAGGCGCCACTGGTGAGAGGGGCTCTGGGTTCGGGGGAAGGGAACTCGTGGGGAAACCTTCCGTGGGTTGAAGCCACACTCTTACAGCCACCAAAAGTCTCAGTACTTCAGAACCTTAAACCCGCTTTTTTGAGAGATCACCGTACTGAGGAACTACTGGCTTTTGGGACTTGTGTACAGCTACAGCCTCGGCTCCTTTAGGCTTGGGGGGAAGGGCTGGAACCAGCTCGAGCGGACCCTCCAGTGGCGGGGAGCCTCGAACAGGGAGAGCCACTGGAGACATCTACCCTGAAGTGGGATTTCGGTGCATACAGTGGGCAGAGAAAAGTTAGCTTAAAAAAACAAAAAACAAACAAGCAGGAAAAGAGGAAAGGCGGTCTGACGTCATCAGGTGCGGACTGTGCCTGCCCAGCC